TGCGGTCAACGTAACATTTGGACCGATACTGTGCTGCAACAACACAGCAAATGACATACAGTTGATAAATTTCTGAAACCTTAAACAACCTAAGAAACCACAAAATAACTAAGTCAAAAAAAATTTCAATAATATTATTGCACAAAATATTTATGAGTTGTTGAACAAGAAAAAAAATGATCGACGAGTAGGTTTGTAAGTATTAAAAAAACGAAAAAAAAAAGTCAACCATATAATAAAGTTTAAAATGCAGAAATAATATTACTATTATAAGAAGTTTTGATGTAAAAAGTGTGGCCAATGGAATATGAAATTACAACTTGTTGAACATTGACGGCAAAAAAATTATTTGGCAAATGTTACACCTGCTTATCGACGTTAATCATTGACTTTCTCCTTCAGCTTTCCACCTTCTTAAAAACCCCCAGCCTCCACCTCCACCTCATCGTTCATTCTCTTCTTTCTTTCGTTTTTTTTTTCTTTTTTAATATTCATTTCTGGTTACTGTTCCCCAAACTTATATAAGTTATAAATGAGCCAACAAAAAAAACATCAATGCTAAAAAAGAAGCAAAAGAAGAAAGGATATTAGATCAATGAATAAATAAAGCAAGAGACATTAGCCGCTGCTTAAGAAAAACAATTGCAGATAAAATAAGCAGCTTTTTTAAAAATTCCTTTTTCTTGCTCTCATAAATTTATAAAAACATTTATTGTTATTATTACTGCTATAAATTTTCAGCAAAAGTTTCTCTACTGAACAGCGGTATAGCTGTTCACCCAATTAGAAAAGGTTGGAAAAAAAAAGTGCATAAAAATTTGCACTTAAATACTGCTAATTTTGTAGCTTAAAAAACTTTATGTTTAAAGATGTTAAGTGCTGCCGTTTATATAAGAATTATTAAACCAATATAAACGTTTGAGCCTTTATCAAGACATAATTTCTTGAGACGATCATCTATTTCAATAACCCTATATGATAGCAAAAAAAAAAAAAAGAAAGCAAAACTGGCTGTTGAATATCCGTTTCTGCAGTATTATCCTTCATTGTTCAGAAAAAAAAATATAAGAATAAGAAAAAAAAAAGGAAGGACTGGAAGTCTATAAAAAATTGACGAGATATTTCAAGAAACGTAATAAAACAACAACCATTAGGCTGTATTTTAAACGCCAGAAAAACAGATAAGTTATTGACTCAACGGATAAAAGCAATAGAAAATAATTTGCGGAATCACTTCATCAACTTCCCGTCCCCCTTTTTTTTATAGACAGTAATAATTAATGTTACCGAAATGTTTGACGTTTATCGACAATTATATTCTAAGTTAAAGACAAAGAAGTAAAAAGTAGAAGAATTTTGTTTTTGGCAAAATGCTCACTGCTAAACACCTGTTTTTCTTATGCTACATTATCGAGCGAGATAAAAGAGGAGAAAAATTTTACTTTTCGAAATTAACATGCAGGAAATATTCGTCATTTAATTTATTTTTGAACCTTATTTTGAGCATACTTGTTGAGAGGTAAGACAACATTTAACGACTTGTAATAAGCGCAAATGACTTATGATGAACAACAATTTCCTGTTTTTTTTTTTTTTACCCCT